TACTTTCACAAGAAAGTCAAACATGCGTCCCATGACTAGCCGCCTTCGTGGTTTTAGGGTCTGACTGGTTTAAACGCAGCGGTTGCGGTTGCGATTGCGGGAGTTTCCGGAAGCGGGCGGTTACGGTTTCAAGCGTTATCAAGCGTTTTGAACGACTGGTTTAGCGTTTGAAAATGGATGCGTTTGCGGAAGTTTTATGACTGGTAAACCAGCGGGTGCGGTAGCAGTTAAATAAAAAAATGACTAAAAAAATAAAAAATATTACAAAAAAAAAGAAATAAAAACACCAATATATTATTATGATAATATTAGAAAAATTGAACATGCTTAATAATTAAAACCATAAATAAAGTACTAAATAATTATTCAAAAATAAAAAAATTTTATAATAAGATAGTACTTTATGCTGGGTCGTTAACACCAAAAATTGTATCAAGTAATGGGACAAACTGTAAATAACGTTGAATTCAATCAAAAAGCAAGTAATTTTCTATTCGAGAAAACAAATCGAAACATATATTCAATCAAAAAGAAAAGCAATATATAATGAAAGAAAAAAATATTCAAATTGATTTTCATCAGTTTGGGTGGAAGACATTGAGAAAATAAGGTTTTAGAATATTGATTAGGGTTTCTGATGAGAACGTGATACAAAGATGAAAGATATATATAAGATTAATATATTTTATAATAATTATAAGTAAACGTTTGATTTTTTTTTTTTTTTTTTTTTTAAATCCAACCGCTACCGCTCGCAACCGCAAACGCTTGAGGGAAGAAGCTTTTGAATTTAGCGATTTCGAGCGGTTTGAAGCGGTACGGAGCGGTTTCTATGATTGGTACCAACCGCTAACAACCGCAACCGACCGCTAGCAACCGCTAGGAGGGTGTTAGCGGAAGAACCAATCAAGCCCTTAATAGATTGAGAAACCTCCAAAATTCTCTAAATTAATCTTGATCGTCCAATTGATAAAAACCGACTGGTCTAGTTTATGCGTTTTAAGTTCTGACACAAAATTTAACCCCAAAATTTATTTTTATTTTCTATTTTAAAAAAGCACAAAAGAAAATTTGAAAACACAAAATGACCAAATCTGTTTCAATTAATTTTACAATTTTTAACTTGTGAACTTTTTTTTCCCATGTTAACTCAAATAATATGGTATCAAATTTCATTATTATGTTAATATTTTCCCTAATAAATTCGATGTCAACGATTTGGTAAACCCTTGAAGAGTCCAATTCCAGATAAGCACAGAAAAACAAAAGAAAAAAAAGAAAGAAAGAATATTTACTGGTATATATTAAAAATCACACACAATCTCTTCCGTTTCTTTGGTCTTCAAAAGCTTTCCCTAATCTAACACGCTCCGTTACGTTTTCTCCTTTACGAAAAGCTCAGCAAAAACAGCTTTAAAGCGATTTAAATGGTATGTGTTCTTTCTTCAATCTCTTAATGTGTGTGTGTGTGTATGTTCTAGTTGGAGTTTTTCCGGTTTATTAGGGTTCTTATATACATGTTACCGATCTAGTTTTTTTTAAAATCTTCGATTTGATACTAGTACATGGAAAACTGAATTTCTAGGTTTTTATCTGAAATTTTATGATAAATCGTTTAGATTGGAGTACTAAAACCTGTGAAATCTTTGTCGTTGTGAATTCTGACTCTGTTTTACGAACAGATGACTTGTGCGAGCTCCGATGACAATGACAGTGAAAAGGACAAGGACTCGGAGTCTTTCGTGGAGGTCGACCCGACTGGTAGATACGGTCGGTACGGCGAACTTCTTGGCTCAGGCGCCGTCAAGAAAGTCTACAGAGCCTTTGACCAAGAAGAAGGCATCGAGGTGGCTTGGAACCAAGTTAAACTGAGATGTTTTTCCGACGATCCAGCCATGACAGAGAGGCTTTACTCGGAGGTCAGGTTGCTTAAGAACCTTAAGAACAGTAACATCATCACCCTCTATAAGGTGTGGAGAGACGAGAGAAACAACACCTTGAACTTCATCACCGAGATCTGTACCTCCGGGAACCTCAGAGAGTACCGGAAGAAGCACAGACACGTCTCTATGAGGGCTTTGAAGAAGTGGTCGAAACAGATTCTCAAAGGCTTGGATTATCTCCACACTCACGAGCCTTGCATCATCCACAGAGACCTCAACTGTAGCAATATCTTCGTCAATGGCAACATCGGCCAGGTACAAAAACCTATCTTACTTAAAATTATGCTAAATATTTTCTAGTCTTTTGTTTGTTGGCTAGTTTGATTGAGTTTTGTGTCTTGATTGAAAACCAGGTCAAGATTGGTGATCTAGGTTTAGCTGCAATTGTGGGGAAGAACCATTTAGCTCACTCCATCCTCGGGACACCAGAGTTCATGGCTCCTGAGCTATACGAGGAGAACTACACTGAGATGGTTGACATTTACTCGTATGGAATGTGCGTTTTGGAGCTTGTCGCACTCGAGATTCCTTATAGCGAATGTGATAGCGTCGCCAAAATATACAAAAGGGTGAGCAATGGCCTCAAACCAGAGGCTCTCAACAAAGTAAATGATCCTGAAGCTAAGGCATTTATTGAAAAATGCATCGCACAGCCGACAGCTAGACCTTCTGCAGCTGAGCTCCTCTGCGACCCGTTCTTTGATGGGATATTAGATGATGATGACGAAGACGGCGAAAACAATGACAACACTGGAGCTTGTCGTATTGTTTCTTGATGATTGTATACAATGACCCTTTGTTAATTTTTGTCCTATGGTTGGAGCTGTAATTTTTTACCGATTCCAAATTTCCAACCATGAGATACAACAGAATCTGTAGTTTAATTTGAATCTTTGAGAAAGTTTTGTAAAATTATATTGCTTTATGTTTTAACTTTTATAAAATGAAAAAAAGTGTTAACGTGTCTTTAGTCAAGTGGTTAAGTCTATTTGACTTTTTTCACCGAAGTTCGACTTACACCTATGGATCATGGTTTGTTGATCTAAAGATGTCAAAAACAAGTTTTGTTAAAAAAAAAAAAAAAAAAATGTCAAAAACAAGAAAATAACAAAAAAAAAATTTGTATTTAACAAGTTGCAAACTTTCTTGGGCCCATATACATGATCTTCTATCGATATGATCCGGAAAGTATAGTGTTGGTTGTTTTTTTTTTTTTCCCTCTTTTATTTTTCTAAAAAACAAATGGAACTCTCCGGACACATTCACGTAGGATCTCTCAAGCTTTATCATGGCCTTGGTTTTATTAAATTTGAATACGGTATATTCGGAGTCAATTAGTAGTCCGGGATTAATACAAAACTAACATACACAACATGCGATATATAAGATAGTAGGTTAAATATTTGGTTATCAAAGATAATAACCAAATGCTCATTCAAAAGGGTTAGTTCTTATGTCAATAAAAAGCGAGCGACCAAGGCATTTAATTCGTAATGTCTTCAAGGCAGAGCGAATTTGAAAAAGTGCTCCCCAACAAAGAATAATGTAAAATGGTTCTCTCCGTATCGGAGGAAAATGATGAAGGCGATCTCCAAAACGTATTGCCTTCAACGTCGGAACAGATCTCTGAAAAGCAACGTGAGCTGAACGGTGGCAGCAATTAGTAAAAGAACCAGTGGCGGAGGATGGTCCGGTAGCTTCGAGTAGATCAACACCAAACTTTTTTTTTTTTTTGGTAACCCAGGTATCAACACCAAACTATGAGAGCAAACACTGATGTTAATTTGAAACAATTAAAACTTGAATTGTTTGTAACTTTTTAATGAAAATGTGTTTTTACTAAGGTCTAACTAAATCTAATATATATACCCATTTTAATTTAAATGATTGAAATGTCTCGTGAAACTCCATAAGGTTATGTCTCTACACTGATCGGTTTGGCTTTTGTAGATCTTCTTTTTTCTAAATCGTAGTATTCCGACTCTTTATATATAAATATATATTCTATGTATTCTAGCTGAAGAGGCACAACATTTTGGGCGATTTTCTAGTTTTTAAGGTTGTTCATCTTTTCATAGTTTTGTTTAAGAGATTTCTCTAAACCCTTTGTGAATCTATATTCAAACACATGACCTCTTCTTCTATTGTGATCATGTGTACTGTGCTCATATGTGAGTAGTCCTATCATTGAGTTTTGCAAGTTCTACTTCTTATTTTTTATTTTTTAAGAAATATATTAATAATTGGACTTTGCACAAAATTTGAATCTCATTATGTATTCAGAAAATACTCTCTTCTTCTTTTTCTTTTTTTTTTTTTTGTTAAAAGGCCTTCAGAAAATACTCTTTCAGATTATTAAACTCATTACATTAAAATTCAACGATTCCCATTTAAATCATCATCTTTAACCGACAATTAAAATTAACCGGAGAACCAGTACCAAAAAAAAGTCAAAAGCAAACCCCCGATCTCGGCATTGCTTCAGAGATCACCATAAAAACCTGGCGGATTTGGCTCCGGAATGATCTCCGTTTGGCTTAGGAGCATCAACAGGACGGAAGACATTACTGGTCTATCCTCTTGACGACCTTGAACACACCGTAGTCCAATTTGGAAGCACCGTTTGACTTCATCGGATGATGGATCTATCATGGGATCTATGACACATGCCCACTCTCCCTTGCTCCATTTCTTCCAAGCCTGCAGTTGTTAGTAAAATTTATGAATGTTTTTTTCTTTTTCTTTTCTAGTTGCTTTTGACTATAACAGAAGAAGATCGACTCTAAAATCAATCAACTTACGTAGCTTAGAAGACTGAGACCATCGTTTGCCTCGGCGAATCCTCTGTTTCTCTTACCGGATAAGATCTCAAGAACCAATACCCCGAAACTGTAAACATCTGACTTCACCGAGTATGTCCCCTCTTCCGAGTATTCCGGAGACATGTAGCCACTGCATAATTAAAATAACACGATTAAACATCAAAGTTATAAATCGAAAGATGATGATGATAATCTTTTTGACTGCGCTTACCGCGTTCCGACCACACGTTTCGTCTCAACATTGTTATTGCCCCTTTCAAAGATCCGCGCTCGAGATCTTCGGGATCATATCTTTATCAAGCAAGACGTTGCTTGGTTTAAGGTCCCTATGTATGATCAGAGTTCCCGAATATTCGTGAAGATATAAGAGTCCACGAGCAACACCTATGACAATTTCAAATCTCTTGGGCCAATTTAGCTTATCACTTTGGGTTTCGTCTACAAATAGATTATAAAAAAAACTCTTGATCAGATTAGTGTCCTTGTCATAGAAGACATTGAACTGTTATAACATAAACAAAACAAAAAACTCACCAAAGAGATAGAGATCGAGGCTTCGGTTCTCCAAGTAGTCATATATTAACAACTTCTCCTCCCCATTAATGCAATAACCGAAAATCTTAACCAGGTTTAGGTGTTCTACCTTGGTGATCAGTTTGAGTTCGTTCTTAAACTCATCAGTGCCTTGATCTGACGTATTTGACAGTCTTTTCACAGCAATTTTTTGACCGTCAAGTATTCCCTGTTTAAGTTATATAAAAACTAGTGTGATGTTTCTTCTTTTCAATACAAATTTGTGTCGGTACTTTATATAATTGATCCGGTACCTTGTACACGACACCGAAACCACCTTCTCCAAGCTTATTAAAAACAGAGAAATCATCTGTGGCACGGGATATGGTTTCGAAACTCAACAATGGAAGTTCCGTATTCTCCACTATGTTTTCTCCAGACATATTTTCTGTACATGAACAAATTTAATACGAACGTTGCTCTTAATACATTGTATATAAAATAAAATAAAAAGATAAAAGGTCGTAGCAAATTTAATTACCAATAGGTGTTGCAATAAGCTTGTCATCACTGCAGCTCAGTGGGGCTTTCCTCACACACCCATCTCCCTTGTTTTCCAAGGCCCATGCTTCCTGGTCCTTGGGCTCAAAACATCGCATACACTTACACGCCATTAATATGTCACAGTAGCTGTAAGGGCCGCAAATTCCATAGATATCGCATTCCTCAGCCACAGAATGCCACAACAGGTCCCATTTCAAGGATGTTTCATTCCACATAAGCTGTTGTACGGAGGTCAATGTCAGTCTGGATGTGTATTTACTATCCGACGTCTGGAATGAAAACGAGACCTCTTCCTTGTTCGCTGTTAACGTAAACGTTATATACGTCAAAGGTTGGTTTCGTGGCACGCCAAGAGATACTACGCCGTCCCATGGACTTACCCGTTTCACTTTGGATCTACCAGACCAAAGGAACAATGCTGGAAAGCCTCGAGTTCTACGTGCAGCTTCGATTTGATAAGTAAATTCGCCGCTTGACGGATCAGTTAGATCTTTCCAAGAGGTCAGGAAACTATAACGCCCCGTTCTGAGCTTCCAACCGAGTTTCATCCCTGGAAGTAAAGTGTTTGTTGGAAAATCGAAACTTTGCCACAAAACCTTATTACCACCATCTTTGTTATTGGATTGTCTCAGCACGAGATTTCCTTCGTTGAGAAGCTCTGCCACAATCGGAGATCTCTCACTTTCCTCTGTAATACTCGTCGACCAAACAACAGTATTCGATTGGTCAGAGAGAAGGATGTTGGAATTCCACACGCGGATGGTTCCTATAGGATTGGAGAGAGGGTTGTCTCTGTTTGCAACCCATACATAGGTTCTTTCGGAGATTTTCTTATACCAAATACCGAGATACCAACGATCCTCATCCGGGGAACTGTACTCAGGTTTGAAGATACCAAGCTCGAAGACCTCATTATGAGACACAATGGTTTTGTTGCTAGAGATGGTAAAAGGTTCTGTAGAAATCAAAGAAGTACCGTAGCTGAAGAATACAAAAAATGATGAAATGAGAAATGAAAACAGTACGAAAGACTGAGGATTGTTTTTATTTTTCATCATCGAATCTGTTCTTCGTCTTTTCTTTTTTTTTTCCCTCTGTTTATTATATTATGAAACTGTATCAACTTGTTAAATGAAGAGAGTTATTTCTACACTGAAGAAGACTTTTTGTCACACTTCAATTAATCCTATGGAGACAGAGCACTAGTTTCATTGTACTGATGAAGAAAAAGAAGGCCATGTTCTAAGTCTTTCCACCACCTCAACCAATTGCGAGTCATCCACACCATAAATCACTTTGTCCATCTTGTGACTATGCATGCTTCTCAATACCATCATGCTTTCTCTATTTACCTACGAAAGTGATAGATATAAATATGATCATATAACGTACCACCTAACCATCTCATATTCGTCTGTCCATAGATTTTGGCCCGGTTTGATACTTTATTACTTTAACTTACAATTTGCAAACACACCAAAAATCTTTAAAATCGCTAATTTCTAAAAATTTACCATTTACTTCTAAAAATGCTGATTAATCATAGGAAGTCAAAATATTATGCAATATAACTATTTTTCACTGACGTATAAGTTTGTAAAATTTTGGTAAATAATATGTTATATCGAAGTTTTCGCGACGAAAAGTCCAAATCTACTTTTAATTTTTTTTTAAATATAATGTATAAATTAGCAAAAGTTGCCTTTTGGAAGGGTCTTCTTTGTATAAACCCTTTTATTTGTTTTATATAGTTTTGTCAAAATGTTGAAGAGGACTTGAGAAGAGATTTTTTTTTTTTTTTGGATTGAATTAAGCAGTTATATACTCTTACACACGTCATGTCTATTTACATCTGTTTCACAGCTTGAAAATGCTCTTAAAAAATATACAATATTACGAAATAGTCAACTATTTATGTAATGATCATTACATTGATCAACTTTTACAATTTTGCAAAATTATTATGAAATTTCAAAAAAGTTCTTTTTCTAATACCGTATTTAAAAAATGTCTCTTTCCAATAACTTAATAAAAGAAATTGGAGATCTACATAAATATTTGTATAATCTTATAAATGCATACATAATCTATCTTTATATGTATGTAAAAGTCCTTATAAAAATCTTATAAATATCTTATAAATATTTTGTAAAACCTTTAAAATATTTTGTAAAACTATATAAATACTTGGATCGAATTTCCGAATAGTATTACTATCTAGAAGCACCTTACAAACCTTATAAGACTTTATAAAATTTTCAGATTTAGTAAAAGACATTTTTAAAAATGAGGACAGCGGAAAGAGTCATTTTTAAAAACTCATTTCTAAAAAGGACACACTAGAAAAGATATTTCTCAAAATTTCTAAAAATTACAAAAATGCGTGAACGTAAAAATTGTTGAATTTCCGATTACAAATGTATTTTGTATCATAATCATAAAACGATCAGAGATGAACGGTATGAAATATGTATTAATGGTGTGTATAACAAAATTAGGTAAGAAGAAAACCTTGATCAATAATCTAATAAAAATTTGTCCTTGCAAGTTTTTTTTTTTGGTAAGATTTGTCCTTGCAAGTTGCAAGTTGATAAAGCTTGCAACAATTTTAAATGAAGAAAGATATTAATAACCAAACGAATTATTCCAATGTATAAAAAAAATTTCAATGGCTTTTGCTACTCTAACCTTCCCCACCACTATTTTTTGCTAGGTATTTTCCTTTGCTTTGAAAGGAGAAATTCCCTTGATATAAAAAAATAGAATTGGATAAATAGTGGGTTCCATCGTTTCTATGGTTACTTCTAAAACGGTGAGGTCCTCTCTATACACCGGAGCTCCTTCTTTTAATTAATCAATACTATTGGTAACTTGTACAATTCACATTCTTTGGCTCTACCCCATGAATATTCCAGTAATAGGTCTTTCATAATGAGATCCCCTTTATAAAAATTACAAAAATGCGTGAACGTAAAAATTGTTGAATTTCCGATTACAAATGTATTTTGTATCATAATCATAAAACGATCAGAGATGAACGGTATGAAATATGTATTAATGGTGTGTATAACAAAATTAGGTAAGAAGAAAACCTTGATCAATAATCTAATAAAAATTTGTCCTTGCAAGTTTTTTTTTTTGGTAAGATTTGTCCTTGCAAGTTGCAAGTTGATAAAGCTTGCAACAATTTTAAATGAAGAAAGAAAAATAAAAACAAAGATATTATAATCTTTAAAACGACAACTTTGCATGAAAATTTAAAATTCCAAAAAGTTGGTGTCCTTCACATAATCACACCACACACCACCATCACCATCACCATCACCATCATGTAAGTATGTAACACCAAAAAAGACAGTTGTTTCAATATAATACTAATCATTAATCATATAAAATTTCTAATTTAAAAAACTTTTCCTAGAAAATAATTATTTAGACCACCTTCTAATTTATGTTCTTCTTCTCCCTCGTTTTCTCCCATCTATATACTTAAGAAGTTTCCTATTTATTTGTGATTTAATAATTCTATATTCAATATTATTTTGATGGAAATGCACTGTCAACCCAAATAATTTTGATGTTTTACTGATTTATTCACAACATATAATAACAATTTAAGAAATATATAAGGAACGAAATAACTAAAAAGTGTCTGTCTATAAAATTGTCAAAGTACTCCATTAATTTTTGTTGCTGTCAACACAGTACTACAAAATCCAAATATTTCAACTTTCATGAGTTGATGATTGTTTATATTATACATCATTTAAATACTCCATAAACATCATTAATTAGGCTAGGATTTGCCTACACACAAGACAAGTTGTATTTAGGTCCCTGTATTATCCCTCCAATGAACGAATTATTATTTTATTTTAAATTGCAGTAAAGTTTTGTTAAGATGTCAGGATACAATTCAAAATCTCTGACCACTAAGTTAGATTAAGGTGCTTAACAGCTTAAGTATAACAATTGGTTTACTATATACATTTAGACTGTTTTTGTTGTTTAAAATGATGGGAATATTATCGAATTAGGCCTTTATTGGGCCAAAAATTTCAAATTGGGTATTAGTTGCCGGGACTTCCAAAAGTAGGCATTTAGAGGATAGACAAAAAGTCTATTTTACCCCTGTCTTCCCTTACCTTTGCTTCTTACCGTCGTTACTTGTATCCGATAAACATCCTTTGCTTCCGACAACAACCTAGCTTTTCCGACCACCACAATCGCTTCTCACTGTTCTGCTCGCTCCGTCTCTGTCAACTCCATCAAACATCGTCACTTTAAATATCATGAACACCATCTCCTTCGCCTCCGACTCGTCTCCGCCACCGTTGGAACCATCTCTTCCGGTGAACGCAGTGGATTCAATTAATCGCGTCTTGAATAAAGGATACTAAACCCTAAGGGGATAATGTAGACTAAACCCAAGGGCTCCAATTTTATGTCTGTTCTCTGCTTCCACCATCTCTAATGGTATCATGAACTCTATTGATCAGAAAATTAAACCCTAAGAAAACTAGTAATTGGTGAACCCAATGGGAAAAAATTAAACGAACTTGGAAAAATGAGACGAACTGTCGTCATCACATATTTGTATCTCTCTTATGTGTGTGTTCTTCGAAGTTGGTCATCGGAGAAGGAGACGATGGACCTGCAATCAACGGAGTAGCTTCATATGTTCATCATGACGCGAGAGAACAGAGAATCACGGCGAGAAAGACAATCAATTGGTTATGTGATAAGGGTAAAATCGATTTTTCGTTAGTTTGAGAAATGCCTAAATCAGCAATGCTGGACAGACATACCTAATTTGATAATTTTTTGGGGAAAAATGCCCAATCCGGTAATTGATTCTTAAAATGATAGAAAGGTAATGTTACAAAAACATTTTTTTTACAAAAAACAAAGAAAAATGAAAGATTACAAAATTCATAGAGCTTGTAACAAAAAAGGGTATTTGGTCATCATCGACTCATTTTTATTATTTATTTTCTTTTGAGAAAACAAAAATATTGGGAAGAATTCGTCCAAGAATAAAAGTTACGCAACTTTAAACAATATTATAAAACTGTAAAGTGTTAAAAAAAAAAAAGTCTAAAATTTTTCTATTGTTTATTTAAATCTTTAGGTAACATATAAATAATAGGGATATTATGGGTCTCCATGATCATGATAGTAGTAATAGTCTAGTCTTAATTCAAGAATTATATTTAATATCAACTATCTAAATTGCAACATATTGAATTTTGAATCGTTATTTTGTATATTTTTTTTTCCTATATTTAGATTTGAAAATGTTTATTAAAAAAGAGGTCGTCATCATCTTCTTTCTCTTACAAAATCCTCCCACAGAAAAAAAAGATGCTTAACCCATAAGAAAAGCCAAATCTCAAGTCTTTTGCTCACAATTTTTTTCAACTTTTTTTTTTTTAATTGACCTATCTCTTTCGTCAAACACTTTTATTTCCTAGTAATATTTATTTTGATTATTCTAATATTAATTGTCAAACACATAAAATTCTTAAACTTACCAAAAATAATTATTTCAAAAATTTAAATATTAAATCTTACCAATAAATATGAATAAATTTTTTAATATATACACTAGAATTTAATGCATACTACAAAAAATACTTTCCAAAAATTAAATTTTACTACAAAACAAATATAATCAATAAAATCCATAAAACAAATTCGAATAATCTTCTACTAAATGAATACAATATGAAACAAATATTGTTAATTTGTCACCAATCCAAATTTACAAAATTAAAAATTTGTATGATAAAACCAAACAAAACAATTTTATAAATTTCAAACATATTAAAAATTCATAATAATTAATATATATAAATATATAAAAATTTAATAAATTAAATAAGATAAAATATACCAATGCATATACCTAGTTATGTGAGACTAACTATTGTTCTCTCTCTTTTCTTTTTAATTATCAAAGAAAAAACTCTTCTTAATGGAGACCATTTACAGATAAATTTAAAGGAAAGGTTTTTAATAAGCCTTAGAGATTAGAGAGAGAGAAGATGTTGTTTATTATTATAGGATGAACAAAACATCCTCTGTTTCTCTATTCATCTTTTTCTCTACATTTCCTCATCTGGGTCATCTCCAAAAATGGTGATTTTTTAAAAAAAACTTTCTCGTCTTTAATAATTCTTCACGTTGCTGGGTTTTTGGTGATTTGGTGATGCTTTCTTTTTCAGATTTGAAGATCACCCAAATTCGCAATTTGATTAGGACAACAACAACAACAACTTTATTTATCTGATTCCGTCTTAGATTTTCAGACAACAAAAGTATGTTGTTTCAAGTCTTCGATTTTTTCAATTTCATCTCTCGCTGTGATTCTCTCCTTACTCGATTATTGTTTTTTTTTTTTGGGTTTCTCTGAATTGGAGCAGAAGCAACAAAAAAAGAAGAAGAAGATGGAATCGGATCTGGGGAAGCTCTTCATTGGTGGGATTTCGTGGGATACAGATGAAGAAAGGTTAAGAGACTATTTTAGCAACTATGGTGATGTTGTTGAAGCTGTGATCATGAGAGATCGTGCCACAGGACGTGCACGTGGCTTCGGCTTCATTGTCTTTGCAGATCCTTGTGTCTCAGAGAGAGTGATCATGGAGAAACACATCATCGATGGCCGCACGGTTAGTGATTTGAATCATCTCTCAATCTTTCAGCAGAATAAAAAAGTTCGGATCTTTAAGATCTTATTGCAACTTTCTCCATTGTGCATTTTGCGTTTTTGAATGATTCTGGTTTGGTTTAGTTTTGTTTCTCAAAGTGTAAAGATCAATTTTGTTTTTTCAGGTTGAGGCCAAGAAGGCCGTGCCTCGAGATGATCAGCAGGTGCTAAAACGACACGCTAGTCCTATCCAACTTATGTCACCTGTCCATGGCGGTGGTGGTGGAAGGACAAAGAAGATCTTTGTTGGAGGTTTACCGTCTAGCATTACCGAGGAGGAGTTCAAGAACTACTTTGATCAGTTTGGTACAATTGCTGATGTTGTCGTAATGTATGATCATAACACGCAGAGGCCTAGAGGTTTTGGCTTCATCACATTTGATTCAGATGATGCTGTTGATAGGGTTCTTCACAAGACCTTTCATGAGCTCAATGGGAAACTAGTCGAGGTCAAAAGAGCTGTACCTAAGGAGACTTCCCCTGTTTCTAATAACCGAAGCCCGCTTCCTGGCGGTCTTAACTATGGAGGCGGGTCTAATAGGATTTCTGCTAATAGCTACTTTAATAACTTTGCTCCTGGTCCTGGTTTTTATAACAATCTAGGCCCTGTTGGTGGTCGGTTTAGTCCTATTATTGGTAGTGGTAGAAATGCGGTTTCTGCTTTCGGCCTCGGTTTGAATCATGAGTTGAGTTTGAATTTGAATCCAAGCTATGATGGGACAAGTTCTACATTTGGGTATAACCGTATTCCAAGCAACCCTTACTTCAACGGTGCTTCCCCGAACCGTTACACCTCTCCAATCGGGCACAATAGAACTGAGTCTCCTTACATTTCGAACAATAGAGACTTATGGGGAAACAGAACCGACACTGCAGGTCCCGGTTGGAACTTGAATGTCCCGAATGAAAACAACAGAGGAAATTGGGGACTTCCTTCTTCTGCTGTTGGTAATGATAACAATGGCCATGGAAGAAACTATAGGACAAGTTCTGGACTTTCCTCGTCCCCATTTAACGGTTTTGAAGGTTCTATAGGGGAATTGTACAGAGGCAGCTCAGTTTACAGCGACTCAACGTGGCAGCAACAACAGCAGCTAGCGTCTCAGTCTTCTCACGAGCTAGACAATTTGTCTCGCTCTTACGGTTATGATATTGACAATGTAGGTTCAGACCCATCTGCAAATGACTCAGAAGTTTACAATGGAAGCTACAATGTTGGAAATAGACAAACTAATAGAGGTAACAAAAAAACCTAACTTTGTTCTTCTTCTCAATAGAATTTCTAACTTATGATACATTTTGATCGCCATCGAAATGTTCTGATCAGTGATTTATTTACTTGTTTAGGTATTGCGGCATAGGTTATCAAAAACCAAGAAAACAAAAAAAAAGTTGAGAGATTTGTAGATTGAAAGCAACCAATTTCAGTTGCAGAGTTTGAAGAGGTTTTCTTCTCATGACAAAGACACCAACTTTGTTGATCACAGTGTGAGTCTTTGCCAAAGATTCTGGATTGCTTTCTCTTTTGTTAGTCCAAAAAAAACAAAAGAGAAAAACAAAGAACAGTTTTTCTTTTCTTCTTACATAAAGATCAGATCGTAGCAGCCAAAGATACTACAAGGTGGATTTAGATCTGCTTTCAAAGTTCTTCTTCTCAAAAACTTTTTTTTTTCTTTCATAGAAATAACCAAACAAAGATCGTAGAATTTTCGATCAAAGATTCTTCAGAGTTCTGTGCTCTGTTTTGTAATTTTACTTTCTTTTTTTCTTATTTACAAATTGAATTGTTCATGAAAGCTTTGATTTCTTTTTTAAATTAGCGTGGGAAAATATATTGTGTAAGAGAGGGATATGACTATTTTGTTGCACGTATCCCTAATGAGATATATTTACGTTTTTTTAAAAGCTATTTTTATGTTTAGAATTTGTGCCTTTGTGGAAGAAAATTTTGTATAAAAACTCTTTTTTATAGATTTAGATCTTTCAGGTAAGTAAACATTAATATTCCATACTCTATTTGGAAATAAACTAGAACAAATATAACTAGGTGGCTTGTCTAGGTCATAGAATCCGTCATAGAATTGACTGAAATATGTTTTGAGAAGCAGGGCCGGTCCGAAGTTTCTAAATTATTTTTAATGCCCTACGCATAATTAATAATTTGGACCTTTTTGTTAATGTAAAAAAAAAAAAATTCTCCCAAAAAAAGTGTTTAACAATGTGAGACCCTAAGCGGTGGCTTCACTTGCTTGCCCTCCAGACCGGCCCTGTTGAGAAGTTTACAATATTCCATTCTCCATCCTGCTTATGTTTACTAAATCATGTTTTGAGAAAATTGACCAGCATTTTTCTTTCTTTTGTGGTAAACAACATTTTATTTTTGTTTCGATACAAAGTATATCTTTGATCGATATATGATTAATCTATGTTTCAGTTCCAAATATTTGTTTATAAGTTCAAATTCAATAACGAAGAAGCTTTCATTTTATTTTAGAATTAGTAAACAACGAAATCAATATCATTACAGAACATGCCATAGAAACATCTAGGTCCCATTAACAAGAATCGGTCCAAAACTTTTGCGACTTTTAGGCCTCCTTGCAAAAGCTTTATATTGGGACTTTTAGGCCTTCTTGCAAAATCTACATTGCAGATTTATTATTTTACGTGAAAATTTTAAACAGCAAATTTACTAAATTTTCTTCATTGTCAATAATTTATTTTTTCTTTTTGATGATAGCATTTGTGGATTTGTTTCTTATATACACACACTATCTATACCATATTATAATGTTCAGAAATATAGAATTTTATTTTTTTATAATTATGACAGAAACAACTTACATATTTATATCTCTAGCTATTTTTAATTTATTTAAGTTTCATCATAATGTAATTGATGATATGTAACTAATTATCAAAACATTACAAAAGAACTACTTGTCAAATTCTTATAAAACAATGTATTGCTAATATTTATTGATAAATCAATAATTTAGTCAATATTACAGTGACCCAACTAGTAAAAATAAAAAGTCACCCAACATTTTTCAAACTCATCAATATCGAGATTGTGTAATAAATTTTCATAAAGAAACTAAAATCCTCAACTTTACCTTTCTTCTCTCTCTGCCTAAAGATGGAATCAGAGCCAGACCAAAGCTTCAAAGACCTCTCATGGTTTCTTCAAGCAATCAAAGACCCACAACAAACTTGCTTCAATCTTCAAACCCTATCTTTCTCCTCGTACGGAAAAACCACGCATTGTCAGGTAATAACAGAGAGCTCCATGAACATCAACGTCACTAGAGACAACCTCACTTCACTTTCCCAGATCTTCATCGAGCTAGCAACATCCTTAGAGACGCAGACATCTCTCAGGAACCTGGAATTCGAAGGAATCTCTTGGGAAATCGAGCTGTTGCAGAGCCTGGGTTTGTTGTTAGACAACACCTCGAAGATAAAGCAGCTTGCTTTCAGAAAGAACAGGTTTAGTGAACAATGTCTCAACGAGCTCTCAGAGATTTTGAAAAGAAACAGTTTTTTGAAAGAGGTTATGTTCTCAGAGTCGAGAATTGGATACAGAGGAGCTACGCTTCTTGGATCGGCTCTCCAAGTTAACGATTCGTTAGAGGAATTGCAGATTTGGGAAGACTCAATTGGGTCAAAAGGAGCTGAAGAACTCTCCAAGATGATTGAAGTGAACTCAAGTTTGAAACTTTTCTCCATTTTCGACTCGAGTCCTTTCACTGCCACGCCATTGATATCTGCTGTTTTGGGTATGAACAGAGAAATGGAGGTTCATGTTTGGAGTGGAGATCACAAACGAGATAGAAGCACAAAGCTTGTTGAGTTCTTGCCTGAGAGCAACACTCTGAGGATTTACCAGATTGACATTTCTGGTTCTTGCAGAGTCGCTGCAGCCTTGGGGATGAACACAACCGTGAGGGCTCTAGACATGACGGGTGCAAAGCTAAACTCGCGGTGGGCGAAGGAGTTTAGATGGGTTTTGGAACAGAACAAGACTCTTAGAGAAGTGAAACTTTCGAAAACCGGGCTTAAAGACAAAGCGGTTGTTTATGTTGCAGCTGGACTTTTCAAGAACAAGAGCTTGCAGAGTTTGTATGTTGATGGAAATCGGTTTGGGAGCGTTGGTGTCGAGGATTTGCTTTGTCCATTGAGTAGATTCTCTGCTCTGCAATTACAAGCTAACATCACATTGCGGTCAATTGTGTTTGGAGGTTCCAAGACAAAGATTGGAAGAGAGGGACTTACCGCGGTTTTAAAGATGGTGACAACAAATGAGACTGTGGTTCATCTTGGGATTCACGACGATGCGAGTCTGGGACCTGATGATATCATACATATCTTCAAGACCTTGCAGAAGAACTCGTCTTTAAGACGGTTTTCGTTACAAGGCTGCAAAGGGGTAAGAGGTGATAGAGTATTGGAGGCAATCACAGAAACATTGCAGATTAATACATTGATTGAGGAAATTGATTTAGCGAGAACTCCGCTTCAAGATTCAGGGAAGGCAGATGAGATTTATCAGAAGCTGGGACACAATGGTAGGAAGATAGATGAAGCAGAGATGGATGATTCACTCAAGGATATGCCACTTACTGAGCCAAAGAGCATTAGAGCTTTCCTCTGTGGACAAGACTATGCAGGAAAGACAACACTCTGCAACTCTATACTGCAAAGTTCCTCTTCTTCGGGTTTTCCGTATGTGGAGAATGTGAGAACTTTGATGAATCCTGTGGAGCAAGCGGTTAAAACAGTTGGTGGGATGAAAATAAAGACATTCAAGGACGAGGAGACAAAGATCTTGATGTGGAATCTTGCGGGGCAGCACGAGTTCTTTGCCCTTCATGATCTTATGTTCCCAAGCCCATCTCTCTTCTTGATCGTATTGAGCTTGTTTAGGAAACCGAGCAATAAAGAACCCAAAACACCAGCAGAAGTAGAAGAAGAGCTTCAATACTGGCTTAGATTCATCATTTCCAACTCGAGAAAAGCGGTCCAACAATGCATGAAACCAAATGTCACAATTGTTCTCACGCATTCCGACAAAATCAATCTGCAATCTGAAAGCTTTCAGGCAACTGTGGGTTGCATTCAGAGACTGAGAGATAAGTTTCAAGCTTTAGTGGAATTTTATCCGACTGTATTCACAGTTGATGCAAGATCATCTCCTTCGGTTAGTAAACTCACACATCATATTCGGATGACTAGCAAAGCCATCCTTCAAAGAGTTCCTCGGGTTTATCAGCTCTGCAATGATATGGTACAGCTCTTATCAGACTGGAGATCAGAGAATTCAAACAAACCTATTATGAGATGGAAAGCCTTTGCAGATCTCTGCCAGTTTAAGGTTCCTTCCCTGAGAATAAAGTCCCGTAACGAGAACATTGAGATTGTGGAGACAAGACGGCAAGCTATAGCCACATGCCTCCACCAAATAGGAGAGGTTATTTACTTTGATGACTTGGGCTTTTTGATACTAGACTACGAATGGTTTTGTGGGGAGGTTCTTACTCAGTTGATAAAGCTTGATGTAAGAAAGCAAAGCACCGGGGAAAGAAATGGGTTTGTGAGCAGGAAAGAGCTAGAGAAGACTTTGAGAAGTAGTTTACAGAGTCCAATTCCAGGGATGACCTCAAAGGTACTTGAGCACTTTGATGTGTGTGACCTTGTGAAGATGATGAAGAAAGTAGAACTTTGCTATGAACAAGACCCTTCCAGTCCAGACTCTTCATTGTTAGTTCCATCGATTCTCGAAGAAGGCAGAGGAAAGACACAGAAATGGCAGATAAACACACACGACTGTGTTTATTCAGGCCGGCATCTCCAGTGCGATGATTCAAGTCACATGTTTCTCACAGCTGGTTTCTTCCCTCGTTTACAGGCAAGGGATCAAAAGCATTTTTCTGTTACTTTCATCTCTTTAACTCAAAACCTTACCAATCGTTCATATTGCATGCACAGGTACATCTTCACAACAGAATCATGGAACTGAAGAACCAACACGGGGCGACTTATAATCTTGAGAAGTACCTCATAGCTATAACGATCCATGGCATTAACATTAGAGTGGAGCTTGGAGGACAGTTTGGAAATTACATTGATGTTCTTGCTTGTTCAACAAAGAGCTTGACAGAAACTCTGAGGCTCATTCACCAGCTAATCATTCCGGCTATCCAGAGCAGCTGCCAAGGTGTAATCCTTCTTGAGCACATCATAAGACCACAATGCGTCCAGGACTTGACTCCACCGCGATTCCGACAAAGTCAGTTTGTTTCCCTCCAGAGACTAAAAGAAGCATTGTCATCAGTTCCTGCAGAAACTATGTATGACTATCAACACACATGGGACTCTGTCCTAGATTCAGGTAAGACTGTTCTAAGAGCCGGATTTGATTTAGCCCGCAACCTCCTCTCTGATGATGATTTCAGAGAAGTATTGCAAAGAAGGTACCATGATCTGCACAACTTAGCTCAAGAACTACAAGTTCCCACTGACGAAAACCCCGAAGCAGATAATCATGTACCGGTGACCAATGAGCTGGAAAAAGTTGATCCTAGCTTCGGTGGAATCGCTAAGGGTGTAGAAGCAGTACTTCAGAGACTTAAGATTATCGAGCAAGAGATACGTGACCTGAAACAAGAGATCCAAGGACTGAGATACTATGAGCACAGACTTCTGATCCAGCTTCATCACAAAGTGAATTACCTTGTCAACTACAATGTCCAGATGGATGAAAGAAAAGTTCCAAACATGTTTTACTTCATCAGAGCAGAGAACTACGG